GAGGCCAAGGGCTGAGTGAACATACAGAATTAACTATCCTCACCCTCATAAAAGTGTCCAGTGCCCAAGGACTCTTTCTTTGCTTACTGCACCCAAATAGTGAAGGTAAAGAAAGGAGAGGCTCCAACCACAGAGGAGCTGTTGCCACCCTGGCAGGCCTTACAAAAGCGCTCTGGCAAGAGCTGCATCAAAGCATTCCTGCCCCCATCTTAGTGTGAAGACAGGTCCATGCTGGCCCCCCACTGATTCTCTGGAGGCTGAGAAGACAGTATGTACCAAGGCCGTCGAAGAGGCAGCTGGTTACAGAAGAGGCATGACAACATCACTTCAGACATGGGGAAGACTGGTGCCACAATCCAGGCACTTTTCCCCCTGCCATCCTATTTTGGGAATAAATCATTCCTACAGAGCAGAAAATTCCATGTCCTGATGGATGGACATAGAGAAGGAGTGGAAAGTTTGGGGCAAGCTATTCCTGAGAAGGGGCAATCTTGGAAATACTATGGGAAAAATTATCTGAGCCAAAATTCTAGCAGCTGAGCAGTCCATTCATCTGTGTGGACAAACCCATTAGTCCCAGGCACAGGGAGATACAAGCAGAAGTAAATGGAGTAGTACAGTACCAAACACTGTGATTGGTTAAGTCTAATTTTTATAGTACAATGTATTGCAAACTCTGCAAAGCAAAGTGCAGATTCTGACTCTGGAAGTTTATTGATTTAGCAGAAAAGTCATACTCTGAAACCACACAAGAGGAAAAAAGGTCTTATGCTGAAAACTGGGACACTGCTCAGGGTGCAAACAAGCTCTCTCTCCTCTTTTGTTCTTCACATCAAAGTTACAGTTTCTTAGAGTAACATGATTTAGGCTTGGAACAAGGAGACTGGGGTTCTATTTCCAATTATCTCACTGGCTCTCCATGTCACACTATACAAGTCAGTTAACAACTCTAGATGTAAATTTACCCATCTGTAAAATGGGTAAAATAATATCTAGCTTTCAGGGAATGGTGAGACTTAGTGAATGTTTATACAGAATTTTAAGATCTTTAGATGAAAGGCAATATGTAAATTATTACTGTTATGCTCTTATCTGTTGCCAAACAACTAGGAATCAATTATCCAACCTCAACTCCTTTCCCACTCAGACTGACCAGTCTGTATGTATTCACATGCACACAACAAACGAAACAGTTTAAAAGTCTTAGAATCTTTCTTGCTCTTCCATAACTGACAGGTAATTTTCCAAGGTCAGCTAGGGATAGCTGTTTATTACAAGCATTAGTTTCTTCCTTTCACATCAAAAACGAGGTCAGAGAGAACAATCGCTATCATAAACTGCTCCCTCTGTCTGTCCTCCCAGCTACATAAAGATCAAGTTTACTACAATTGCATGTGAGTCTCAAAATCTTCCCTGGTTGACTAGATTTGGTCTGATAGGGAAGTAAATGCTCCACTTTAAAAGTCTAGGGAATTTCTGAGCCTGGTCCACTGGAAGAGGGGGAAGGAGGATTGCCATATATGGGTATAACCCAAGTAACTCAATGCCAACTGGCAAGGGAGTGCAGGGGGATGACAGGGATCTCTTGGGTCTGACATGTAAATTCTAGTTCACCAAAGAATGTTATGTGAAGTCTCAAATGAAAGCCAGTGTCACACTGGTCATCTATATTATTGTGAAATGTGTGTCTCTCTCTCTCACACACACACAATGTTTTTAAAGTCTGTACTGGTCACCAGCAAGGAGGATGAGGGCAGAGGAGAGAGATCTCTATCTGGGGGTATACATCAAAGTTTTGCTCCCCTATGGGAGGCTAAGATGACATCCTGGCAACTTTCACTGGAGATGTAAAAGGACAGAGATTTTGCTTCCGGAAAAAAGGGCCTCAACCAGACCTGTTGAAAGTGCCTAGAAAACATTTTATGATTTTATTTTATATTAACTGTTCACTTCCAATATCCTTATTCAAGAAACAGTGAGTCTCTATTCTTTGACAATAAATATTTTTCTGTGAAAACAAGAATAAATTTAAGTGCTGTGATGTTAAACATAACGATGATCCTGAGTTAAGTCTTACAAGCTGGCGTGTACAGTTCCTTTGGGAACAGCAGTTCTGGTAATTCTGTGAGTGGTCAGGGAATAAGGGGCTGGACACCACAGGGAATACCCAGAGAATTTGGGTGTTAGCATGGGTCTATCACATCTGTACAGACACAGAAAGGCCTCCGGAGGCCTGGAAGATAGTGTTTGTGCTGCCAGAGGCTGTTTTCAGGGAGCTGATCTACAGCAGGCACAGACAAGACAGATTCACACTAAGGGTAGGTAGTGGTGAGGTGCCTCACAATCATGGGTACCTTTGAGGAGCGTCCCAATGGAAACACAGGCAACTACAAAACCTCTCTTAGGAAAACACAGCATGCTGAAAAAGGAAAAATTTCCCCTTAAAATCGTGATTAATTCCCACACCCGAGCACTATAAGATACCTATGACATTTTCACAGACCAACAGTCATACAGACAATTTTCAGCTAGTTAAGGTTCTCTTTATTCTCTAGAGAGTATTTTGAGACCATATTAGATCAACTTGTGAAATGAAAACTAAATTACTGACTGACTTCAATTTCTCCCATTTCTACACAATGGACCTCAGACATCACAGGTTACTGTTTCAGATAAAGGTTATCTTTTGAAACAAAAGAATCATTAAATCTTTTCTCCTAAATCTGAGACAGATTTCTACAATTAACTCTACTGAGATTGTAGCTATGGATCTTTTATATACATTATGTCCTTCTAACAATTTATTTGGTTGGCAATCAGCAAAATGCCAGAGTTCTGAGAGTTAAACTTCAAGTATTAGTCTGTTGTGTGCCTTCCTATGAAACATCTGATTCATGTATTTTACCATGTCTTTCTTCAGTTACTATTTATAAGTAGGACTTAAACCAGGTCAGTACTAACCATGTTGTGTAATCTTTGTTTTTATTGTGTATATCTGCCACAGGAATTGCTTCTCAAAGGTTTATGTATACATGAATGTATATAAAATGTCATGACAGCAATATTCGGAATGCTACTGGAAAAATCTGTCATCAATGAACAGTTTTTGGGTTTTTTTTTTTTTTTTTTAATAAAAAAGGGTTTATCTGGGTTATTTGGTATTAAAGTGATTTATAATAATAGGCAGTGAAATAAATCACTGCAATGAAAAAGAGAAGATGAAAATACTTAAACCTAAGCAGGGAAAAATCAAAGTTGATTCAAAACCACATTAATGAATAACTTCTACCTTGAGTAAGATTAAATTTCAAGGAAGTTACAATAAAAAGTACACAATGGGCTTGACCTCCATAAATCACACATATTTTGTATTCATCAAGAGCACACTAACACAACATAACATTTCCCTAGTATGAGTTTGTGAATAAAACACAAATAAAAAGGGAATGAGAGAGAGCTGGAAATGATCAGTGATATACTGATATGGTATCAATATTTTAACAAGCAGCTCCAAATTCGCTCTCTTTAGCCTGTGAGGAACCTTACATTTATGACTGCACAATGTGTGTGGGGAGGGAAGGAAAATGTGGAGTCTGCCTATGTTTTCTTTGGAAATGTTTTGAAGCCTTTCATTTGGTACAATCTGAGCCATTTTAAAAGGCCATTTGCTCTTAGGAGCATTATTACAAGCCTGATCTAGCAGAGATGTTCTATTAGTATTGAAGAGGGGATTGAATTGTATTAGAAGCAAGGAAATCAACGCAACATTCCCCTTTCAGATGGGCGTGCAGAAGTTTAACGAGGTGCTGCTGGAAGCCACCGCCATTGCATCAGTGAAGCTGATGACAATTAAGTGAAGAATACTAATCTTTAAATAGATTAGCCTCTGAGCATGGGATTAACAAGTGAAATTCTTCCATTATTGGGATAATTGCCGCTTCCTCTGAAGAGTCTGGTAGTGACCACTGTTAAAACAGAATATTGGACTTGCCTGACCACTATTGTGATCTCACCAATAGTCACAGTTCCTGTGTTCCTCTTAGCCCCTGTGTAGTTTCCAATTGCACCATTGGAAGAACTACAGCAGATGAATTGTCATTTACATAAAATTTCAGACAAGAGAAAAATGGACCTTTGAACAATTTCTGCAACATATAAGATGTAAACATACTTATCATATCAAATACACAAGCCTTTTAACTTCTTTTTATATTGTACTTTTTTTTTTTTACTGGGTTTGATTTCCTACATATCCTTCTTGCAGTACCTCAAGCAGTAACAGTACCCAGCTGCAAGTGCATGTCTGTGGATTGTTTTAGAAATAGTCCTTCTATACTCCAGTAGCATGAGCTATCTACCAGTGTTTTATGATCTTTTGTACAAGAAGAACTATATTTGGGGGATGGAAATCAATTTTCTCAACTTAGCCTGTGATTACCCAAAATATGCTCCTGGACTTTTAGTACCAAAAGAAGAGGAGCTAAAGGCAGGTATCTGGAGTTGTCAGGAATAGCATTATCAGCATAAGCAGAGTATGTGAAGGCAGTTTTCTGAAACTATACAATGAAACCAAACTGATGCCGTCTAGTAGAAATGGAGACTATTTCTTTGTTGATGGATAGCAAGCATGCAATACAGTAGTCATTAAAACTCAAAGCTGACTAAGATCTGAAGGGAATTCCTTTGGCTCATGAAAGGAAATCTTTGTTATGGTAAATAGCTGATGACATTACACATATAAGTCTGTACGTTAAGTATATGCTAGAGTTTTCTATGCTGATAGATATCATGAAGCCGAACAACCTGAGAAGACTCATACTATATATATGAGTCTTCTCAGGTTGTTCAGCTTCATATATATATATATATATATATATAGGCATGTATATAAGTGAAATATTTATGAACAGAATTTTTTAACCATTTTTTAATTTTAATCATTGAATGCTACACAAATTTGCTTAAAGCTGTTTAAAATTAAATATAAAATGTGTTCTTACCAAAATAACTTGGAAAAGTACTGGAACAAGATTACTTTCTTCAACAAGGCTGTAAAAAATAATTAAAACACATTTGTATTTATATTAATGATCTGTTATTTAATACAATGAACTTACACAGGGAGCAGTGCAGCACAAGTCTTTGATGCTAAAATCTGTGACCTAGAACCTCATTCTTTGACTAACTTTTCATATAAATGAATTCCACTCCAGCTATTAAATAGAAACAGCAATGTAATTCTTCAGTGGAAATTACTCCTTGGTCTGGCCTTAGTGATGTGAGGCAAATGAGTGGAACAGTAAGAAAATTAATATTTTTTAAATGGCAGAAATTAATTAAAATTCAGAAACACACTATCAAACAGGCAATGTAGATGGTAAAATAATTTGAACTAATAGACCACAAAGCATACAGTGAATTTATAAGTATGCTGTGTGGTAATTTTGTATGTATGCCCAATTAACTATCTTCTCTACTCTAAAATAATAATGTCCAATGAATTTGCAGCATCTTTTTTAAAAAAAAGTGTTGGGAACTGATCAACCAGCATATTCTAAATATTTTCTCCATAAAAATCAGATACAGATCATATATTATAAGAGGGGAATATTCAGAAAAAGGGCAACAGCAACAACAATTAACATGTATACAGCATTTTTCATCCTACAACTGCAAAGTGTTTTATGTGTATTAATAAATTAACCTTCACAACATCCTTGTGAAATAACCCTGGGTTCAATTTGCTTCCTTTTAAGTTAACTCTCATTGATTTGAGTGGGAACAGGAACTGGTCTCTTATTTCCAAATGGCTAAAATCTGACTTGCTTTAAAAGTGTTCTACTCTGTTTTAATAATTTAATCTTAATTGCTTACCTCATACAAAAATCAAACTAAGTTAAAAGAAAATTAAGACCACCAAGTCAAACACTAAGAAGTTCAAAAATGCCAATATTAAAATTGCTTTTACCACCTTAATTTGACCCCCTTGTATCTCTATGTGATTAAGCAGTTAAAACTATATCACACTATTTTTTCCACAGGGTCCCTGCCTCATTCAGTGCACGGGATGGATGGTGCTCACTGGTCGAGAAGCTATTGGCTATTTCATTTTATCCACATCACTCAATGTGCTACACCATGGCTTAGTCACCACACACCATCCAAACCATGCCACTGAATAAAGAATTATTCATTTTCTCATGGGCTTTCACTTGGGTGCTTTCATCATTTATGTTTTTGAAGCATTAAGAGACAATGACTATCTTCCCAACATCCCCATGAGATTAGGTGGTATTGTTATCCCCATTGTACAGATGAGGAGCTGAAGCATTGAGAGATCAAGGCCAAAATTGTGCAAAGTGTCCACTAATTTTGGTTGCCAAACTGGAGATGCCTAAAATCTACTTTTTCAGAGTATTTGGTATAGTAATATTATGCAGACAAGCCACTAACAAGGGGTGAGACACAGACTTTGCTAGGGGATTTCATAGCTACTATTTGCTAGACCATAGAGTAATGATGAGACACTGAAATCTTGAGGTCAACTCCAGATTTTGGAATGGAGTTTGCTTTATTAGTGTAAACTCTTCAGTCCTTGTCCTCCACCAAAATAACCCTTTCTAACCAGTACTCATGTTCCACCAGCCTGTCCTTTTCTGTCCCTGCTCCCCCCACAATCTGACTCTGTCCCTTTCAACATCTACCCATACCCAACCTGCTCTACCCAGCTCCACACCTTTACGTTTCAGGGAGGCTGCTCTTCCTTCTCTTCTATGTTATCTAGGTGCCCACAGGGGGAGCATTGAGATCATAGCAGAGTGTCTCCATCATACCAGTTCTTATGCCCAGTAGCACAACAGCAGCCAGAAACAGCAATTACACAAAGTCCAGCTCGGCTCCTGCAGCCCTTGGATTGAGCATGCTCTGTGAAGATGGAATCTTTTGCAAATTTATCTGCCAGCCTCTAGCAGGCCTCTACTGAGCAAGTGCAAACTGCAATTTTCAAAGCAATATAACTTGGCCAAATGTGGGTGGATTTTCATGGGCCAAATAGAATACACCAGTTACTCTACCAAATTTTAAGTCCCTACTCTAAAGCAAGGTGGTGCTAGACCTTCTCAATGAAATGGGTGTAAGATTTTTTTTTTTTTTTAACATTGGAAATACACTATTTTTCCCAGCCTCATCTTCAAAAACAGTGGAACCATTTTGCTGAAACTTTACCCAAAACAATTCAGTCTGAGGCAGAGAGACAGCATAGAAAGGAAACAGACAACCTTTACTATAGGTTTTGCTGTCAGTTAACACCCATAATTAACAAAGAAACAATTTATTAAAAAAAATACAACCCACTCTCTATTTTTTGTGTAGCAAACAAAAAATCAGGTCTTGAAACAGAACCATGTTAACATGTGCTCTATTAGAAACAGAGGGAAACAACATTTGCTAAATAGGAAAGACAAATAACAGTAAAGAAAAATTTCATTTTAATGTGCCCAGAGAATACCACTAAAAAAGTAGTGTGATAGTTGTTTTTATGGTGCTGTTTAGTACAAAATGATTCTGTTATTTAAAAAAATAAACTCAGGGAATTTATTGCTTGTGAATGGTGCTAGACCAGTGGTTCTCAACCTATTTACCATTGTAAATTTACCAATGTGTTATGTGGGCCGCATCCAATACTACCTCCCTGGCGAGAATGTCACATGGGCCGCAGTTCTGTGCTGACTGGGCCGCAGGTTGAGAACCACTATGAGGGAGGGGTAAGAGGACCATTCACTTGCTGTAAGAGGAGGTTACTTACTTGTGACGGAGGTTCTTCAAGATGTGTGGTCCCTATCTGTATTCCTTTGACTCATGGTTTCGTCCCAGGTGATAAACGGCGGGGCGGACCAACGGCATCTCCAGTTCTTTCTCCACCACGAATCAACAGATCCACAGCAGAGGGGAAGGAGGGTGGGAAGTAGAATACAGATAGGAACCACACATCTCAAAGACCCTCCAGTTACAAGTAAGTAACCTCCTCTTTTTCTTTGAGTGATGGTCTCTATTGTATTCCACTGAGGGTGATTAACAAGCAATACTTAAGTCGGAGGAGGGTAAGAGGATGAAGATGGAAGGGTTAATGGAGGCCTCCGCTGCCAAGTTCTGCACCAAGGCATAATGTGTAGCAATGGTGTGTACTCGTGCCGCTCTATGTATATCCCAGAGTGGTAGGTTGTGGAGGGAGACCAGGATTGAAACCTGGGCTCTCGTGGAATGAGCCTGAACCCCAGTGGGTGGCAGCATGCCAGATACTTGGTAGCAGAGTGCAATGTACCCTGAAATCCACTTGGAGATTCTCTTTGTTGAGACTCCCTGACCTTTCACTCTTTCAGCTGTTGCAACAAACAGTCTGGGGGATTTTCTGATTGGCCTTTTCCTCTGCAGGTAATGTATATCAAGGGAGTGGAGTCGTCATTCCTCTTCTGAGGCATGTGGCTTCAGGAAGAAAACAGGTAAGTGAATGGATTGATTAACATGAAAATGGGAGATGACCTTTGGCAGAAATTTGGGATACAGGTGCAGGGAGACTATCTGTATGGAACGTTGCAAAAGGAGGGTCTGCCATCATGGCCCCAAGTTCACTGACCCTTCTTGGTGAAGTGATAACAAGGAAGGGGACTTTCATGGCATGAAGGGACATAGAGCACGATGACAGTGGTTTGAAGGGTGGTTTAGTTAGTGTGGATAGAACAAGGTTGAGGTCAAACTGGGTAGCTCTGAGTTTTATGGGTTGGAAGGTTCTGATGAGACCTTTCCAAAATCTAGAAGTCAACAGGTGTGTAAAGACAGTGTCCTTCACCGGGGAGTGGAAAGTGCTAATTGCCGCTAGGTGGACCTTGAGAGAGTTGAAGATAAGACGGGATGCTTTCAAAAACAGAAGATAGTCCAGGAGGAGGGGAATCCCCACCATTTCTGGGGAAAGTCCCTTTTTATTGGAGCCAGCAAGCAAAATGTTTCCAGTTGGCCCAGTAACAATACCTAGTGGATTCTTTCTTGCTGCTAAAGAGGATGTTTTGCACTTCTGATGAACATGCCCTTTCTAGAGAAGATGCCCATCCAAATACCACATTCTGAGGTGAAGCGCCTGTGGTTTGGGATGTCTGATCTTGCCGTTGTGCTGCATCAGTAGATCTGGGAAGGTAGGGATGGGGATGGGAGGACAGGCTGACATACGAAGGAGGTTGGGAAACCAGCACTGTCTGGGCCACCAGGGGGGTGATTAGGCTGATTGTCACTCAGTCTCATCTGATCTTGTGGAGTACCCGTGGTAGGAGCAGGAGACTAGGGAAGACATAATTGAATTGGTCCGGCCAGGGGAGAATGAGGGCATCGCCCTGAGAGTGATGTCCCAGCCTCCCACTGGAACAATATGCATTGCATTTTCTGTTCACTGGGGATGCAAAGAGGTCTCTGATCAGAGTTCCCCATTTGTTGAAGATGTCCTATAATACAGTGTTGTGGAGTTCCCACTCATGATTGATCATACATTGTCTGCTGAGCGAGTCCGCAATGACATTCTGTGCTGAATGCAGCACATCTTGATGGGGAGGTATAATCTCCCTAGAGGTAGAGAGGGTCCAGAAAAGTGTGGAGATGTTGGGTCTCCCAAAATAAACATGTCCTGGGGTTCTGACGCTCTCCCCAGTCTACCAGGAGTTAAGGGCACCCACTCTGTACCCAGTACCAGCACCGGAGTGAAGGGCTTCCCCGAAACAGAATGGTCTCTTGTTTTATGAAGCGCTGATGTTGGCAGTGTCGGTGGTCTGTACCCAGTACCGGTGGATCTGCCTTCTTGTGAGGCCTCTACTCAAGTTGATGAGGCTTGGCACGTGTTCCTCCTCTTCTGGAAGGAGCATCCCCTTTCTTGGGCTTGCAGGAAGCCTTACTGCCATGCTTATGGTCACGGTTCCTCACCTCCTGACTAGGCCCCCAGTGTGTGGGGTCCATAGTGGTGATACCACCGGTGTCAGACTGTGACTCTGTAGCTGGAGGGGCACTCCTGG